TTTACTAACAAATACCCATTTTGCATTAAAAAAATTATTCGCAATCGTTAACTTTAGCGGAACGATGGGTATGATAACGTTACAGTTGAGTCTTTTTTCGCGTCGCGCATCGACTGCCCGCTGGTATGAGGTGTGTCTGGCTGGTTGCTCTTACTCGGGCGCTCGGACAACGCTGCTTGGGGACGTCAAGTCTTGTAAATATTACCTTTATTATGGTTACCTGACTTTATTTGTAGATGTTATCACAGGTTCATTAAAAATAAGTAATGGGTTAACGAAAAAAAGCAATATATTTTAATTCTTTTTTTTTATTCAATAATACAAATTCTTTTAAAAAAAGTAAAACTAATTCATATTATCCGTTCGCACCTTCTTATAGGGTTGCTCATTAATGTCATCAAGCACATCCTCGTTTTCTTCATGATCCATGGTACATTCCAGTACTGGATTATTAAAAGCCGGTATTTGCAAATTGCAAAACATGTCTTCATTAATCGGAAATTGTCCAATACTAACATCACCAATATCCGTATTCTCCACGAAGGACTGCTCATGTGAGATAGCATAATCTACTTCTTCAAAATTTGTGCACTGCGAGTCCTGGCAGTGAGCACATACATTGGAACACTTCAGATCGTGCTTGAAACAACTACAATTTTTTGTTTTGCAAGTACCTTCGCACCGACATGCAATTATTTTTAATATTTCCTCCGGTACTAGGGCTTCGTCGGTATAGTTGCGTAGAATTACGTTGTTCGATAACTTCCATCCCCAAAGGGTTGGTTCTATGTCATTTCCCAACCACAATTGTAGTTGCAGGTAAACTCGAAATACATGCTGTTTTGCTGCACCTTCAGTGGGCGGTATACTGGGCAACTGAAACGTATTACGAGCGGTGCACTTGCTGACTTGTTGGTAGCAAAGGTCATTCAATGATACATTTGTTCGTTTATCGTATAGCAAGGCAATTATTTTACATCCATTAGAGCAAATTTGGTCCTTGTCAGCATCAGTGCGATAAAACACATCCATCAGCTGGCAATGCTTAGGTGTATCGTTAAATATTTTTATTAATTTGTTTTTTCCTTTTCTGTACAGACACGATACGGTATCACAACCCGTTATGACGTGTAAAAAAGCTACATAATTTCGCAATATTGGGTAAATTAGACTGTCATTTGCATACCAGCAATCAGGCTTATTGCCTTGGCTCTTTTTTAGAAAGTATATAGTTTTTTCAACAGGCGATTTTTGAGTAAGGAGCACCAATAAATCAATATCTTGACCAACTAAGATTACATTATTTCTACTTGCAGCTAATTGGATTGAAGAATCAACAATGAGCGAATCGGCATCTTCATCTGCTATTTTACAAGTGCATCCCGCTTGCGTGAGACTGACCGTCAAGAAATCGATCAACTGTTTTTTATTTTTACAATTCGATAAAAACTTGTCTTGAGGGACTGCAATGCGCGTGCACAAATCAAAATTTATGTCACGTCCAACATTTTTTCTTTCTCGGCGTTGTCGTTCCAATGTTTTTAAAGAAATTGACATGTCGTCCGGGTAACCGTCAAACACAACTGTCGCATTTCGATAATGTTTAGTTACGTACTGCACATAAACTTCAACTATTCCTTTTACAGTCATGTTATTCTGCTCACCACCGACTCCATTTCGGAGCCGTATCGGAGCGCCCGAGTAAGAGCATCCAGCCAGACACACCTCATACCAGCAGGCAGTCGATGCGCGACGCGAAAAAATACTCAACTGTAACGTTATCATACCCATCGTTCCACTAAAGTTAACGATTGCGAATAATTTTTTTAATGCAAAATGGGTATTTTTTAGTAAAGTGTGCAAGTTTCAGAGTTCTACGCTTTTCACCGTCGCATAGGGATTTTTTTTTTAAAAAAAACCTAACTTGGCTCCACATGGTCGTATCATGAAAATTTTTTTTTTTTAATTCGTAAAAAAATAAGTACAAATGCATTGCAGTTAGTTATATACGTGCAATTATCAAAATACGTAAAAAAAATGCAAAAAACCGATAGAAAAAAAAAGTACTTTTTTCGGAGTCCGATTTCGGCATCAAAAATTAAAAAATTTTACTTACTACAAACATTGCATGATAGAATAAGTCTAGACGAAG